TTCCTTTTTTAATTGTGGCAGCACAGTACCTCTAGTAGATTCACAAGCTTGAAAACATGTCTAAAATAAATTTTTGAATTTAATTTATTTTAATTTAAAACCCTTGCAACTTCTTCAGTCTCCTTTCTCAATGCTAAACCATCACTTGAAGTACCAATTTGTTGGACATGAACTCGAAGCGAAGAAAGACTGAGATTGCAATCACCCAGCAACTAGAAAATAATTATCAAGTCATATTTTCTCCCAAATTAATGCCATGTATGCTTATTAATCTGCTTAAGACCAATGGATAAAAAATAACGGGTAAACAATGGCTTAGTGCCCCATTATTTCTCACAAGTTTTCTCCTGTATATGTAAAAAATCAAGTTTCTTCCACATAAATTATTATTCTCAATGGCATATTGAGAAGAAACTTTGGGGAGAATAAAGGTCCTGGTTTACAATAACTAAAACCAAATAAAACAAAGACAAGTGGAAGTATTTGGGCAAAACTCAAGTCCTTAATAATTACAAAAATTAAAAGAAACCTCATTCAGTTTACGCATACTCAGAACAGAAGCTTGACGCAACTTTGAAGACATTTTTAGCCTGACTTTTATAAATTTAAAAATATTTTTTTCTATTTAAATAAAGTAATGTTAAATATAAACAAAAAGTAACAAAAATTTATGTAATGAATTTGATAAAACAAATATAAAAATATTTTAATCCTAAAGAATTTGATTTAATATTATCCAGTTTGTTTTAAAAATTAAAACAAAAAAAAATTAAAATCTCACCAAACTCATTAGGATTAAAAAAATTCAATGCACGCGTAAATAAACTCGTGCCTATTTTTATATATTTTTAAGTCAATTAATGCATGTGTGTGCGAAAATTGATCAGTTAAGATTGCAAAAATAGAGATGAAAGGAGAAAATATATGCGATGGTTTGTCGCCAATCATGATGACGTAAAAATTAAGCGAGCACATGATGCATGTGGAGAAAATAGTAAAATTTAGATTTTAATTAATGACAAGATTTTTAAACAAATAATTCGAGTTTTACAATTATTTATATTATTATACATAAATTTACAGCCAATTTGCAGTTAAATAAAGGTTAAAAATCATTATAAGAGAATGTCAAATAAAAATTTATTTCCGGTATTAAAAAGTCAATTTTTAACGCAAATTGGCTTGACAAAAAAATAAAGAATTTAAATATTTCAAAATATATAATTATATAAAACTGTGTAAGCAGAATTGACTTTGTTTTAAAGAAAACACTCAACAAATTATTTAAGCGTTTCTAAAAAACATAACCATTAAACCAATCACAAAATAATCTTAAAATAAAATTTTATTTTTGGAAAAATAGAAGTGTTAAAAGGAAGCCACATTAAATACTTCTCTCCATTTCATTAAACAATCTCCAAACCTCATCATTATTATTATTAGCTTTTATCAAAAGAAGCGACAATATCTGTAGCAAGTTGAGGATGTTCTTTAATTATAGCAATCCATCCAGCGGTGTGTACAATTTTTTTCGGATGAAGTTTGATAAAATGTAGCACCTTTTTACGTAAGTTTGAAGCACCATACCTAAAAAATAGGTTAATTAAATATCAACAAAATATTAAATTCACATATCAGCAATAATTAGCAAATGACAAGCATTGTCGAAATTAATAGCTTGTATAAGGCTTTGTTCACAATGATTCTTCAATTCTTCCAATCTATAATTTAAAATTGAAAGGAATAAAATTAAATATTAAAAACCTATATTTGTCAGCAGCAATAAGTAAATCAGAAGCAATCTCGCTCAACTCCCCAGAACTTTTTCCACAGTAGATAAACCGAAGCATTTCCTTTACAACGTTATATTCAACATCCTTTATTTCGAGTATACCCTTAATTTTAGATTCTAAAAATTCGACAAAATTAATTTTAAAACCGTTTTTGATTCACTAGTATCAACATGTTGTAGCATTGCTGAAAAGACAGGTGAGCGAGCAGCAAGTATAGCTTTGTGCACGTGAATCTCTTTGTCTTGGACTTTAATAGTGAAATCGGTAAGCACCATATCACTCAGCAATTTCAAATAATCTTCGCCAAGTTGTCTCTCACAGGTGCAACTTCTACATGGCTGAAAATAAATTACAGATAAAAATTATTAGAGCAAATCTTTACTCCAAACGAATCATCTACAGAAGTAGTGATCGTCTCAACAGCAACGTCAATCTCAACAAAGACAGTAATACTATCAGCAGGTTGAATTTGAGGAAAGAGAACATCTCTCTTTATATAAGAAACATAGTCAGAATGTGAAGGGTTTGGATGAACTCGCATTTCAATATCCTTCCCTTCACTGTTTTTAAGGTAGAATCGAGACCTTAAAGGATTTACAATTAGAAAAATATTTTTTATGAATTTATCAAATTAACCTGAAACCAATCTTGTTATTTTTTACATTTGTGCCAAGAACCCTATTCAGGCAGAGAAAAACAAAATCCTAAAATCTTATAGATAATTTAAAACAAGACCAAATTAACCTTGTTGTTTTCACCATTTCCCTTTGGATAAATTTTAATTGACCAAGTCAAGTCGCTATTCGGCAGATTCACATAATTTTCCAAATATTCCTGATAACAATGAGAGAAATTCTTTACTGTCCAATTGTGCTTTAGATACTAAAAGAGAAATATCATCAAAACATCTTTTAGATTGCTAGCTAGAAACTCCCCCAATTTTTCTACTAACAAACCTCTACTCGTATTTCAGTTTGTGAAGCATTGGTAGTTTGAGAACTGCTACCAGCTGACTCTATAGGCATTGAAAGTTCAACTGATTGGCACGTAGGCTCCATTCAATAAAGAGATAAAATAAAACCTTTTAAATGTTTTTAGCAATTATTAATAATTCGTAAAAATATTTCATGTATGTATAAAGACAATCAAAAAATCATAAATTTATATATAGTATATCTATTTACTCGTTTTCAATAATTGATTGTAAATTTTTAAATTGCGATGATGATTCTTTTTTTTGTTTTTCTCATTTAAACAATTCATCTCATCGTTGTTTTATAAAGAACCAAAAATTAATTGTTGGAGAAAAACGGATACCCTTTTCGGTGAGAATAATCAAGATCTTTCAAAGTTATATGTGCATATAGTACTGAGAAAATGAAAGGCATGGAGAAAGATAAAAAACAAATGAAAACAAATGCAAAACACAATCCTAGAGAATTAATTTGATTTTCATTAGATATATATTTTTTCTCATCTTTTTGGTTAAATATTCTCCAAGATTGCTTGATTAGCGGGAAATATAAATGGTAACAGAAAAAATGTTCTGATAACCTAAGACTAACTAAACTATAAACATGTGGCAATGACACCTGAAAACAAGAATTGGAAAAGTTAAAGGAGGATATATGCTCATGAGATACAGAATAAACAAAAAAGATAATGTTATGGGATTATTCCTATACGGGATTTTAGCACATGATTTTTAAGTATTTGTTGCCCGCCTTTAAATATTTTTAGCAAAATTGAGCATTGTCAATCTTGTTTCTCCTTCTTTTCTTCATGTTTATTGTTAGTTGTTTCAACTACGTTTTTATTGCTATCTAATGACAAAATAGAATTTTGATGACCGCGGCAAGAACCAGAAAGCAATTCTCTCAACCTGTGAATATTGCGTTTTCGTCCACTTAGAAGTTCATCAGTGATAAGCAACGTCAATAATGGACCACAATATAAATTTTTTAAATAAGGAGAGAGTTGACTACAATGGTTGAATGTTGTACCAATTGTTCTAAAAGCGTCATAAAAGGCTTGCCGGATCGTCTTTAAAAGGAAATTATAGAAAAGAGAACAAAAAATTACCAAAATATTATGAGCTGAGCGACCAAGATTGTTGCCTTAAAAATAAAAGGATTCAATTGGCAAAAAACAACTTTTTGAGTTATGAAAAGACAAACCTCTTTCACAAGGATCGCAAATGAAGACTGGACTCGAGTAAAAAATTTCTTCGCCAAGTTCTTCAATCAATTCCTTCTTATGCAAAACTAACGAAGCCGACAGACGATTTCGAACTTTTATGCCCAATTCAGAATAATCAAAACAATAAAAGTAGAAGAAGAAATAGTGAAGTAAAAGGCCTAACGGTTTCCTTCCAATTAGGGTCATGTAGTCATAGGAATCTTTATGAGCAGCATCTGATTTGTTTTTTAAACGAATGTACTGAAAAATTATAATCAACAATAGAAAACCCAAAAAAAAACCTCCAAATAATGAACCAGCATAACAACAAGAGCATATGACGGTAATCCACCCGTATATGGATTATTAAGACCACGCTGTGCAAGGAAAAGCTTCAAAACAAGCAATAAGGGTTCCATATGAGGCATAAAATCTAGTTTGTCTCGAATCCAGCGAACAGTTTTATCAATACGCCCACCAATGTTAAAATTAATATCAATATTTAGTTGTGTTAGCTGATCAGTACATTTGACAAGAGGAAAGGCTAAAAAAATAAATAATCACAAGTGATAAAATAATAATAAAATCAACAAATATTTTTACCAGTTTTGTCCAAAACATGAATATTCTCGAAGTGGAATCCCCTAAAAATTTGAGGAAATGTGAAAAAACTAAAAGAATATTGATAGCTTAATATATAAATATATTTTTACAAAAAAGAACATACTTTAAAACATCTGCTACTTTATGAAGGTCTTCTGGTATTTGAATTGAGTTTGTAGTCCTAACACATATATCAATATCTGATGAAGGGAGAAAGGAATTTGTTGCTAAATAAATAAAATGGATTAATTGTTCATAAATAATTATTCATAGATTTACCCAGAAATAAAAAATTTCGTCACTACGCCGAAATTTTTGTATATTTTCCGAGCCGCCCCTAATGCCAAAACCTCAAAGATGTTTAAGGAAAATTCATTTATTTTCGCTATTACCTATATTTAATCTATCACTGATTGTTTTTCTTCTTTAAACTTTAAGTTTAGATTCGAAAAACTAAGAGTGCTTAAAATTTTCTGTCAGTGTATAATGAATAAGGACAAAAAAACTAATTATCATCAAATTAAATGAATTGACGACATTTTCTAACAATTCAAGGCGCCTTTTATTCGATATAGGGCAAAAACTCATCAATGTTTAAATAAAGCAAAAATAAATTCAAATCATCTTTAACCCCAATTAAAGATAATTAAATAAATGCATACCAACACTTCCAAACATTTGTACATTAGAGTCAGGCCAAATCCCTTTAATTATATCACTTGTTCTATTAAAAAGCAAACGACGGGACCAAATCTCTTCTGCTGTAGGTTTTAGCCAATTATATAGGTCCATAATTTCATCGTGAAGACTTTCAATTGTTGGCTGATATTTTAGTCTTGCCCAGCAAGGACGAGAGCGTGAAAGAACAGGCACTTGGGTAAAATAATTGGCACAAACTAGCTGTCCATGTTCATTTACTGCCACAACCAAGTTATTGTTGTTAGTAGAAGCGCTGCTGGCAGAACTTGTTCCAGCACTCTCATCCATGCAAAAATGCTCAGAGGAAGACGAAGAACTTAAGGAAAGCAGGTAACTTCTTGTTAGTATACGTAAATTTTTAAATGAGTAGATAATTATTGGAAAAAGCTCATAAAGCTGACAATTAGTCGAATAACACAGAATCCATCTGATTCAAGATTGTGAATAAAAAATTAAAACTTTGGCCAATTTTAGCCTTATTCGACTCACATCAGCTCGACAAGTTCATTAACATAGTCACTCCCTAGTAGATTTTTTAAACAATTACTTCTTTTCTTACACACATTTAGTTATCTACGTACAAATAACAAGAGACTACCCAACAAAACATTTAAAGATTAAAAACCTTGTTCTTCCTGAGTTCCCATTAATTCTTTTAGTACTCGTATCATTCGAAGTGTGTCGTTGGAGAGAATTTTGTTGGTCATATCGTTCATCAGCTGTCAGGCACATTTGAGTTCTATTGTTCCTAAAAATAACCAAGAAACTATTTTCGATCATTCTGGCAATAACAATCTCTTAAACTATATCTGAATTCGACAAAATTAATTTTATCTTGTATCAGTTTATCTGCATAATATTATCAAAAAATTGCTTAAAGCTTTAACCTCTTAGAAACCATTTAGTTGAGTTGATGTTTTAAATAATTAGAAAAAGAGTTGAAGTAAGTTCTCAGTTATCAACTAAAACATTAATTTAACTACAAATTAGACAAAGAGGTTATAAAACTAATTGTAAGAAAAATATGGTGTTAAACGTATCAAAAATATTTGCATCAATTTGTGAGGGGATACAGCCCAAAACGGCGCAGGCAAAAACGGCGCAACCGAAACGGGCGACCGATACGTCGCAGGCCAAGACTGCAACCCAAAAATCGAACAACTATCCGAACAACATCCCCCCAATGTCGGAACAACCTTCCCCGTTGCTGGAACAACTTTTCTCAATGTTGGAACGATCTTCCGCTTTGTTGGAACTGCGCAAAACCTTGTTGCAAAAATATGTTAGTAATTCGGAGATCAGTGTACCCGAAAACTGGTTGTGATTTCTGTTCGATCACTAAGGTCAAATCGATCACAGATAGGTTAATCACTCGAAATCAATTGATTACTCTCACGTCATCTGATTGATTAATCCTTCTATCACTGAGCAGTTTTTGGTTTGCGCCGTTTTGGCCCGCGCTGTTTCGGGGTGTCACATTTGTGGGCCGTTCCACTTAGTCGCAAGGCACAAACTTCTGAAAAAAATGGGGGGGGGGGGGGGGGGGGGAATATGAGCAGAAGATAGTTAAGCAGTGGACAATTGGGTAATCGTTGTTTAGATTATTTAAGAGAATATGGTGTTTCGACCTGCGACATACATATGTAGAGGACGACAGGGATTAAATAGAATTAAAAAAATGGACCAAATGATTCCGTACAAGGATCCATTGTAATAAACAGAATGGTTATTCAACGCGCAATTGTCAAGCATTCCTAACACCCAACTTCTATAATGTTATGGGTTGTTATTTGGTTGTTATTTGCAAAAACGTTCAAACGGTACACCTCAATTGAGTCCCGACTCAACTGAGTCCCGGACCCTATAACTTTAGAAGGAATGGTCACAATTTTTTGATCTTGGTACCCCTGGATAGGGCACTAAATAGGCTACAATATACCAAAAAATCAAAATTCCTGACCGACTGGTAAAAAAGTTATGATCGATAAAGTGCCGACAAATCAGATTTTTTTGAAAAAGTTAGTTTTTAGATCATAAAATTTTTACCAGTCAATCGAAAATTTTGATTTTTTGGTATATTGTAGTCCATCTAATGCTCTATCTAATGGTACCAAAAACATTAAAAATTATCAACCCGTACTTGAGTTATAGGGCCGGGACTCAATTGAGCCGGGACTCAGTTGAACTGCTCCGACGTTCAAAATCTCTTTATTTTCGCGAATTCATGGGTCAAAATAAATAAAAACTATTATCTACACGAAATCCTCGAGGGAGTTTTGCAGCACTGGAGCTGACATGAGCCCACTTTTGACATAAGACTGGATCTTTCAGCAGAACATATCCCCTGTGCTTAAGGCAAAAGAAATTGTACATAGGTATTGTGCAGCCAATTTACCCGGTTTTATGTGCCTCAAGTATGATCATCACCGTACTCATCGAATTTGAATCCGATTAATTAACTTTTTGTTCTATTTTAGAGGGCAAGAGTCTGTTCTTAATAACGCTAAAGTTAAAACACTAAAGCAATCACTCGCCCAGGTATGCGACAAAATCTCACTCAAGGAGGTGCGAACTTTTGCCCAAAATTTTCCCACGCGCCTTCGGCTCTGTATCCAAGTATTTGTTGGGTACAAAATTCCTAATTATTTTTGATACTTATTTAGTTTTCTATCATTTAAGCTTTGATCTCATTATCTTCAATTTGAATAAAGTTACGCCATAAAACGTATCCGGTTACTTTTTTGCTACCCTGTAGTTACCGTCGAATTTAACAGATACATTTGTGGATAAAAATTCGTTGTTTAATTTAAATATTTTATGTAAATAATGAGTAACAATTAACTTTTCACCCCATCAGTCCTGCGGCGCGAAACTCAAATTTTTTTTCGGTGCCTGAATTTTATCATATTTATCATACCGATTCGGTTTGTCGGTTCGGTTACCGAAGAATCTGGCGAAGTTAGGACTTTTTTAAATTTACAACGAAAAGATTAACCATTTGCAGAGCCAGTTTTTGAATTTGTTGACCACACAAGAAGGTTCGCTAAGTAATTAGTTGACTTGCGTATCATTCTGAAATCGTTTTAACAGATCGGGATAAGTGATTTTAGGATGGCACAAAGTCTGATGAGTAAGGCGGGTATGTTAGAATTTCTTAATTGGTAGTTGCAATAATGCAGCCAAAGTGAATTTACATTGGGCTGAATAACGTTTTTTTAAAAATAATTTAAAAAAATTTTTTGACAAATTTATTTAGCAATTTTTATTAATACAAGATTTATTTAATATGTATGACGACAACAAAACAAAATACTTTTTTTTATTTTTTCCTTCCTTCTTTTTGAAAAAATTATTTTTTAAATAAATTATTAAATTAAAAATGAGATTGAAGATAAATGGGATACTATATTGTTCTGATCATCTAAAAACGAACAATTGGTGGGGGGGGGGGGGGGGGGGTTAAAAATTAAAAACAAATTTGTAGTTAAAATATTTTTAATAATAAAGTTTAAATCATAATTTAAAAAATAATTTTATATTTTATATGACTCGATGATCATTAATTTAAGAATTAGAATAAAAACAAGCCAATCCCACAACAATAGCAAATTAAAAATTTCTTTTTAAGTTTTTAAAATTTATTTAAAAAACATATAAATAATTAAAAATGAAGTGCTTAAAAAATAAAATAAAACTACAAAATTAACAAAAAAATAATTTTAGATAATGCTAAGAATAATATAAGAGAGAGAGAGGTGCTTTTTATTTTTTATGTGTAACAAGAGGATTTTAGTGACAAGAGAGAAGAAACCCATATTTTTTATTAGGAATTATTGAGGTTTGTGCTGAGACTAAATCTATAGAAATTAGGATTTAAATTAAGGAGGAGGGAGATATAAAAACGAATATTTCAAGTTTTGGAGAGATAGTCCCCTCAGTCTTCTTTTTCAGGCATTGAAACTTTAAGTATTTCATACTCCTACAAATCTCAATGTAACCAAAATATTCGTTCATTTTTTAAATAAAGTTTTACATTTAAGAAGATAAAAACAATTACTTGAAAATATAGATTTATTTAACCATATTAAGTTTTTATTTTAAATTATGGGATTTAATTAATATATTTAATTTCTGAGGAATTAAACTAATTTAAATAGATTTACAACAATTGAGAAAAACAAATAAAGTTTTTAAACAACAAAAAAAGTTATGGAGTAGGGATCGGGATAGATCTGATTTTCCTAGTTCCAGGGCTAATATCAAGGAAGTTTTAAGTTTCTTGATTTTCCCTTGAATGGGCAAGGTTGTTTATTAAAAACAATTCAAAGATGCCGATCTCTAATATATTTAGTAAATAAATAGCAATTTAGACGCTCAAACAGAAAAAATAATAATAATTAAATTCAAAAATAGATTCATTTTTTCGTCTAATTTACAAATGTGGCTATCTATAACCATCAAAAAATAAGTAAATTTGTGTCAAGAAAATTATTTAAAAGTCAAAAAATAACCTAATTAAATATTTAAAAAAAACTAAATTAAATAAATTGGCTAGAAAATTGGAATATATTTTCACCCCGCATATCTATGAGCGATTTCCTATCATGAAAAACAATTTTTTTCTATTTAATATTTAAATGCCGATAAATAAGGTCCAGCAGAACAAGGTGTTTGTTGTTGTTGTTGAGTATTATTATTTCCATTGTTAATCATTTGGGGTGGTGGTGTGTTTACAAAGAAATATTGTTGCTGTTGATGTTGTTGAACCTAAAAATAAATTTTTGAATGAAGAAAAGAGGAAAGGGGGAGGGGAGAGAAGAGGAGATTTAAGAAAAAAATTTTTTCTTAATTATTTTTAAAAATAAATTACTTGATAAAAAGCCCCTCCAATACTACAAGATTGAGTACTTAATGGAGGTGAACATGCAGACATATGTCGAGGACCATGTCTACTAATATTTCCAACACAATCACTTTCAACTTGAAGAGAACGATATTGCTTTTGTTGTCGCCAATTATTAGCTCTATCAATTACTCCCCCTCCTCCTCCAATATTAATTGCTTCTTCTTTTTGCTTTTCTCCTCCTCTAATTTCTGTATTTGTTGTACTAATACATTCATTGTCTGTTATTATATTATTTCCTAGAAAAAATAATTTTAGAAGGAATTTATTTTGTAGAAAATTAACAAAATCTCTTAATGTCTAGGTAAATTTAATTCTGAGTCAAAGAAAAGAAAGGCTAAATATTTTTTTTCTTAAATTAATTGATCAGTCAAAATAAAATATT